CCATGTGCCTCTCTGGCTTGCATGGCACCATGTAAGCAACAGTCAACTTCTCCCAGCAGATCACACACAGGGGCTGCAGTTAATATCCCCCATGTAACTGAAGCCATACAACCTGTTGCTTTCATGTTAATGTCTACTAAGCTTTTTTAAAATGTTTTTTCTTTATGTGATAGGTGATCTGCACTAAAAAGATCATATGTCACTGAAATCCCCCTGGCTTCCTGCATCATTTGGAGACCACACCCTCTACATCCAGCACATGAGACATATTTTTGACAGAAAATGTATTCAGACACACACAAGGACAGAGCTTCACACACAGATATAATACTAGATATTAACTACAGCCGCAGCTCATATTACCATTGACTGCAGTTCTGCTGTTTGTTAAAATTCAGGAGGTGAGTGAAAAAGTGAAGTGCGCTTTGGAGGGATAATTCTTAACCATTTATATCCATTCATAAAGATCGTGTCAGTAAATGAGTGAATTTACAGTATTCTTTATCTCACTTAAGTATTTTCTGTTTCCAGTTTAATGGACTGAATAAGAAAGATTAGTATTATACAGCAGAACTGTCTGGGAGATGGTGGCTCTTGGAAGAATTAAACTCCAAATCGCACGTTAGTACATTCCATGAGCTTTCCACCAGCATCTCATGCTCATGGGAATTGAAACCCAATAACAAGTAATGAGCCGTGTAGGTAACAGGTGGCATTGGTGGCAGGTAACATTGACAGGGAAAGAATACGAAAAAAAAAACTGGATTCAATCCAACTGTTCATGTGTTGGCATTGTGCATGAGCTGCTGAGTGCTGCTGCTGGTTTTGCCTGCATCAGTATTGCATGCATATACAGTATGTGCAGCCAAAGCTGGACAGTAGTGCTGAACCAACATCCAGTATATTATAAATGTGTGACAACATACATTAAGGGGGACTAGGGGGCAAGGACAATTGTAATCAGTGTGATAACAAATTATTTCACAATAATTTAGATAATGAAAGAATGACATTAGAAGAGCTGTGCTCACCTCTAAAGTTCAAACAGCAGCAACATCATCAGCATGTGAGGTGAGATGAATATCACAGCCTCTAGGGGCCACTAGCAAAGTTTTACACGTAAGTACTTAAGTACTTCTGTTCCTGTTAAGTGTGGCTTTTAAAAAAACAACCTTTAATTAAAAATCAAAGTCCTCAGTGTCTGGTCAATCATGTGATAGAATTAGTGTCACTGTGCTCAGTAAACGCTAAAGATAGATGAGAGAGTTAACACAGCATCTGTTGCAGACATGTATTCTTGAATCCCAGCACTGATCATTGCATTTCCATTAGTGATGCCTTCACACTCACGTTTAACTAGAATGCAAATCAGCTGTCTGACAATATATGAACCCCAGGATCTCATAAACAGCTGCAGGAACCACTTTTTTTATTTTATCTCCCATGCTGTTTTCTCTGGTTAGCTGTTTGGAAAGTTTGTTAACATTTGCCTGAGTGGATAACTGTGTAATTAATGCTCCCTCTGCAGCAACAAATGGCACTATTAAATGCAAGGCCGAATAAACAGCAAGAATAATGGGGGATTTAAAAAAGAACAATTGGCATATTCGAACTTGACTGCAAAAGATGTTGTGGGGATAGGAGACCCTCAAGCTAGGACGAGCCCCTCCTGGCTGGGAAAGTGACACATCAGTGACAATGTAAACCCCTCCATAAAAACACACCAGAGGTGAACAGCATCTGTCAACTGCTGCCACGTTCATTAAAAGAGCATTTATGAGGTAGCTGTGTAAAACGGAGATGAGCATTGCAGGTGTTTGGTTTTCTGAGCTGATGGATGAGCTGCTTCAACCCAGTCTCTTAAATCACACTCGTACAAGTAAATTGCTTTCCCAGTAATGTTGTGGTGGAAGCGTAATCAGTGATGTTTCACTGTGTTTTTTTTTTTGACTGAATGAAGCACTCAATGTATTAACGTCAGCGAAGTCAACAGGTTGAGATTGATACTAAGTGCACTCCAGAGACCTGGCTTCACATTCACTGCTCTTCCTGTGCAGCAGCAACATCCTAAAGTTCATGAAAGATGGTGGTTCTTCCAAATACATATAAAAAAAACAAGTTGAGTCTGAAGTTTTCTTGTATGAAGCCAGACCAGGATTTTTCATTGGTCATAACCACAAGCTCTGAGAAGAACCATAAAATACTTTATTAAATATTATTAGCATTGTATATTTAGGAACAACATATTTGTGACCTACAAATGCCAAAAATATGCTGTGGAAAGTTGTATATATATAAAGTAATTAAACTAATCCCTCAACATTTTAGAGCCTGCTCACATCATGACATACCAAGTAATCGTTCTTATACAAATTGTTGAACATAGCAGATTCAGTCCAAAAAATGTTCTATGAAATTTGCTGATGATATTCATGATCCAAAGAGGATAAGCCATGTTATAAACCACATTTACTGTCTCCACCATCAGGTAGATTTGGTCATTAGGCATGGTATGGAAATCTGATACGTGTATAACAATGTGTCTTTTTAAAAACAGAGAGAAAATGAATCACTAACTATGTGGTTAAAGTCAACAACATTGTGAATCTGACCAAACGTATCATTATCAGTCATTGTGATTCAATACAAGTGACATATGTCATTTATAAAAACAATTATAATCAAAAAAACATGTGTCGTTATTGACGTATGTTGAAAGAATGTTGACAGGCAGAAAGTGAAAGCGAGACCACAACAATTAGAGATGATCACTTTTTGTGGTGAGGAGCAGCATGTGCTGTACCACTTTGCCTTTCCCGTGCTGTACAGTGGTGCAGACATTTTCTTTTTATCTATGTCTGTTCCAATAATGTGTAAATTCGTTCCAATTAGATATTTTTAATGTCTGTATCAAAGATTCTATACTACCACTGTCACAGTTTACAATATTCTATTTATTTTTACCCACAATTCTGTAGAGCTCATAAAGCCTTCACAATAATCTGTATTTCATGCCATATTAGCCTCCAGGACTGGCTGTCACATTTTATATTAGACTCATGTCTCATTTCATATTTACCATTTAACTGTGATAAACAGCTCAATGTATATTATTCCACAGTACAGATCAAATGTATACCTGGTATTTTTGCTGTGTTTTGCTCCTAAAATAAAGTCTACATGTGAAAGCTATTACTGTCGACTACCCTGCATTTCTTACACAAGAACAGCTCATAATACATTTGTGGCGGCTGTGGCTCAGGGGTTAGAGCGGTCGTCCTCTATCAGAAGATCGGTGGTTTGGTCTTCCTCATTCCGCATTTTAATTTCATGAAATGTTTGATTGATGAGGACAAATGCGGCATACAACAAAACTGCACAACAATTACCCGGTGCAATGCATTAGGGCATTTTAAGTTACCAGTCATTTTCAAAGCCTTTTTTGTAGAAAGGTCTTTAAGACAGAGAAAACCATTGATTTTGGCAAAACCAAATTTGTTCATTTAATCAGTACACCAATTATGGTGAAAAATTGACTGCATCGTTTTTTTTTACAATTGTTCTTTTTTCTTGGCACTTCCTGGAGACCCCTGGCCAAGAAATTGGCAGGCAAATATATTGTACAAACAGTACATTGCTGTTTTTGTTCTTCTTTTTTTAAAGGGAACAGAGGGATTAAGCAAGCAAGATATAATATATGAATCAGCAAGATTAAGTAATCAAGTTCTTTCCTTTAGACATTTCTATGTTTTGCAAAGCTTACTTTATTGTGTAAATTTGCACTTGCAGATATTCATGATATCTTGATCTCTTGGCCTAAATGAATGTCCATGATCAATCCACAAAATCAAATTGTGTCTGATATGTCACTTTCTGTTGTCTCAGACGTGTTAACACCTTTATCTATTTCCAAATGTTCATTGGATCAAATATTGGTGTTTTTTGAATGGATTAGATATTTAAATGTTTATTGTCTTTGTTATCATTATTATTAGAGTTTATAGTGTGTGCTTTATTTCATACTAAACTAAATCAACAGTACACCTTACAGCACAACAAATTGGGAATGTATTCAAACATCCTTGGCTGAGCAAATGATTAGATGTTAAACGGGACTGTGCTAAACACACAGCTGTGCGGCGCTCTGGTTACCACTCAAGACTGCTGTCAACAGCTATGCCAACCACCTGTGGCCTCTGCCTCTCAAAAGCTTTTCAACTCCATTTCTCCAGTGAGGGGAAAGGATCATCCATCTTACTGACAACCTGGAATTGTGAAAAATTCCAGTGGCTTACAAGGAGGGTCCTCAACATGCCAAGAGAGGCGAATGCAGATGGCCTGCTGCTGAGTCCTACCGGCAGCGACACCTGCCATGGCACTGCTAATACGGATTGCAGCATGTCTGAATGAAAGTGGGATGTGTAATCTTCATCATCAATGACTCGCTTCATATTGCACCTGTCTTGTTTCATACTCATGTGCAGGGAAGTGATGCAACAGATGTTTGACATCTGCCAGTATATGCTAGGATTATCAGAGGCGTCACACTTCAGCTTTTCATTGTCTTTGAACCATCACAGACTTACTGTATGTGGTTATAAGCATTCTGTCATAAACATTTCTATGAATAACACCATACCACTATTTTGGGGTTTAGACTAAATCTTAAATTCAACAAGAGGAAAGATAGGATACATAAGAAAACATAAGATAAAAATATTATGTACAGACTACGCATTAAAATACTTGAAGTACAGTGGACCTACAAGGCGTTTTAAATGCTTAACAAATCATATCAGCACCTACTTGCTTCTCAGTCTTCCCTATGTCCATATGCTTAGTTATTCCCTTTCGACGTTTAGCTGACTGTCTACTTCTATAGCCTCAAACATTTCAGTCTGAATGAGTGGAGGAAAAAAAAGCTTATCCCACATAAATCAAGAGGGTTTAACCAGGAAAAATTCAATCTCAAGCTTGAGCCTGTATGGTCTTTACTGTACCTGTTTTTCCAGTGTTCTTCATCGATGTCTTATTAGAGGATTCAGTATCAAAGCCCTCCAGTGTCAGTTCCTGATACTCTGTGGATACTTTGGTATCATGGTCCACAATGTTGATTGGCGACTGGTTTCTCTCTCTGCATTCTGGATAGGCAGACGCCCAGCCCTCATCTGGTCCATATAGACCTGAGGAAGACACAAGAGGACACAGGGTCTCAGTATGCAAGAGACACAATTTAATGTGACACAGACAAAGCTTTAGAAGGCTACATAAGATATAAATTAAATTTCAGAGCCATCTCCAGAACAGCTGACACTGTGCAATGCAAAGTCATCTGGATTCCAATCAAACATTTTCCTCAGAATATATACCATGAGTCCCAAACAGAGGCATCAGCTGAAAAAGTAAAACATTTTCATTCATGCTGTAAATAGAACATTTCAAAATGTCATTATCACAAGGTCATGATGTATGGCTGCCTTTTTGCAACTTCATACATATTCAATATATTCTATGTTTTGCACTGCTAAGCTCCCTCTCAACTTACTGTCAGACAATCCATCTGAAATCACTGTCAATCACGACATTATTGAGCTGATGGGGAGCCCTTGAACTCCTGTGTGTGTGCGTGTGTGTCTGTGTGTGTGTGTGTAACTGTCCACGGAGTGAAAGCCGAAGGCCAGAAGAGCATTGGAGTCACTCTTTGCAGAGGCTGTGAGATAAAGATAGTCTGAGGGAAGGCCAGGACTGAAATGGCACAGGGCCTTGTTTGAACACCTGAGTGTTCACTCAAAGAGTTGGGCTGAAGCCAATACTGGAGTGGCCAATCAGACGTTCCAGGGACATTCCCAGTGCGCTGCTTAGTTGTTGGGCCAGACACCCAGTTGGAAACAAATCATTTAATTTGACAATCGCCATGTTGGTTAACCTACTCTAAAAGTTCAAGTTTCACATCAGGCAGCTGTGACACCAAAGCCTCTGGATGGCAATAGAGTGGATGAATGCTACTACCTAAGGGACCAAGTCATTTCATCGTGTTAGGTAACAATCAGTGTCATTGGAAGTGTTAAAAGGGAGATGATGGATTATATAAAGGTGAGGGGTGCAAGCAAGTCCAGGTTATAAAGAAGAGGGGCTGTTGAGGATGATATTGCTAATTTGACAAGCTAAACTAACAGAGTACACAGCAGGTGGCGAAAGTGACGTGCTGCCTTCCTCTTAGTAGCATTTCATCAAACAAAATGTAATTTGAAGAAGAAAAAAAAACACAGAACACTTAACCATGACCCATGCATGCAGTAAAATAAGCACTTCAGTAAAGATTAGACCTGCTATTMACATGCATCTCAGATGATGAAGTGTACGGCTCAGAATTTAACAGCTGACACCTTGCATTAGAATCTGTCTCAGCATGTGTCTCCTGTGAACACAGATCTCACTTCCCTGCTCTATAGGCATATACACACATACAACAGGAATAATTAAGACCCATAGAGATTAGCACTGATGCTGATTTTCTAATGCTACACAGGTGGAGGTGAAAAGTGTATCGTCTTGCAACCAAATGCTTGTACATCATAGGCAAGTGAAGAAGAAGACCATGGAGACATAACCAAAGACAAAGGCAAACCTGGGTTTAGCTACAGATGGAACAGAGGAGAGGCTGCTAATACCTTGAAAACATATCAAGGCCAAATATGACATTTTTCTATAGTTGTATAGTCTTGAGTAAGAATGACCGCTGCCTTCAGCAGCACATTAACATTCAACAATGCAGGAGGCAGAAGCTCCTTCAACTCGACCACAAAAACCACACATTTCAGAGTTGTTACACAAGCTCAGAATAAACATTTGCACATGTTGGTAACTTAAGTGAGGTAGCTGATGGCACAAAGGACTATCTGTATTCCTTTAAGACTCTCCAAGCAACAGAGATGGGACAGAAGCGCATACTGTATTCTGAGACTGGTACTGGGAGATACAATGGGCAGTGTTCTATAAAGGATTATGGAAAAGGAAGCAATGGAAAAACCAGAGTCAAATTATTTATATGTGTATGCATACATGGCCAATAAATCTGATTCTGATAAAGTGCAATTCTATTTTCCCTGCTGAATAATGTTGCACTTTCTCTCAAAGACATATGCCAAGGTGGGAAGAGACAAGTGACACCAGGTGAAACCAGATTGTGGCCTAAGGACCAGGCTCTTGCTAAGGTCTTTGGGTGTTTCCGTCATTTCTAGGATACATTTTTTTGTTGGCCTGCTACTGACCTTAGTCTCAGCTGAGGGAGAGAGGAGTGTAAGGGGAGCAGTGAGGAACAAAAGGGAGGGATACATCCAAGCTCTTCTTCAAGTACTGCCCGTACTGTTGAGGGGTTGAGGGGACAGAGACCAGCATTAAGAGTGAGGTTAAGGAATTTTAGGGAGTGAAAGGAGCAGCTGATGGATCAATGGGTTGGGCAAGAGAAGACAGCTTTGACTGCACTCTCAGAAAAAAACCAAAGATGTGCCACAAGCCCTTAAAATATGACACGAGGCTTACTTTGAGGTCAATGCACACAATGTCATTCTGGACACTGTGACTGATACCACACTTTGGTGGGTTTTCAACTTACATGAAACTTCCCTCAGATTTTTCTGGTCTTGATCCTAAAAAACTTTGCTCAAATGAGAGCAAATGGGCCCAGGGGCTCGGCTCTCTAAGGAACCAGCAAACGTCTGCTCATGTCTGATGACAGAGCTGCTCTTGGCACATTTCATGCTGAGCTGTCTAGTCGTCTCTGGTGGGTTACACCGTCAGCACAGGTAATGAGATACCACTAAGAGATGAGGAGGATAGCGATGGACCATCATATAGTAAATGGAGCCAGACATATGGCAGCAGTAGGATCTGTACAACCCACAAACACTATACCATTTGTACTCATCTCATCCTCTCACAACTCACTAATGCCGACCATGCAGTTGGACTGCCATATAAGTTTCTGTTGACACTTCCAATCACTCCAGCTGTCTATGACTGTCTCTTCTCAACAGTGAAGTCCGTTAAGAACAGGCTAAGAAGTTCTCTGACTCAGCAGCACTTGGAGGCCTTCATGGTAATGTGCACTGAAAAGGAAATCCTCATGGCCATAGACAGTGAGACAGTCATAAATAAAGTCGCACAAACCAGTGTATTGCTTAGGCAGTTGTTGATGCTGCAGGGCTCTGTCCTTTCCATTTCTGAGTGTAAACCTGAGCTTGTATAGAATTCTGCTATGGGCCTTACTTTGTGAAAAAGTGAAATGTGGATTGAATTTACATTTATTTCACATAAGTTGTGTTATCTACAACAGAATGATATGCTTACACATATTTTAAAGAGAAAACTAAATTTGATTTTCAATTCTTATTCTTGTTCACCATGAAAGTGGAATGGTCTTGGGCAAGAACCTCTCAGGACAGCAACCATATAATAAACAGCCTACGCATCTTAAGAATGAATGTGAAGTTAAAAATCAATAATAAGTAATTTATATATTTCAACAACATTCTAAAATATAAATATTATGATATGATCAAAGCCAAGTTTCCAACTTGTGAACCGAAAATAAAATAATATGCAGCCACCTGGCTGATAGAAATACAGAAGACAATGTTCTAATCTATTAAATATTTGTGGATCAAACTCCAATCTTCTCGACTGAACTGCTCTAAACCTGAGTGAAATAGCATTTCACAGCCATTATATGGAACATTTAAAAACATAGTACCTTTAAGGTTGATATAGCATCAACTTCATGTATCTCATGGAAAACCTGTGTATACATTCAGTTCTTAACATTGACGTGTGCACCATGACCAATAAACAATTGAATCCATTAATTTGGTGTGTGTATATCATTCCCTGGTTGTTCATGCATTTAGATTTATAAACATATATTTGTTTTGAGCTTGATCTCTGATTGGTTGGCTCTCATGAATGGATTTCTGCTTGGACTGATTCCTATCTGTGAAACACATGATCTACATGGCCTGCCCTCTCACAATATTCAACAAATACTGGTCCCCAGAGTTCATTTTAATGGATGGAGAAAATAGTACTCTCCAAAATGATTTCAGAAATGTGAACCTTTTTATGCACCAAGTGGATTTTTGACCAAGTGTTGCATTTTTACACAATACCATGCAACTGTTTGCTAGTATGTGACAGTTGCATTTGATTTTTTTTCAAGTTTATTGACATTGAAAAATAGATTTTAATCTCAATCTATTAAAAAACTGAAAAGCACTTTCTGAGTTAAAGTTAACTTTATACTTGCAAGCACACCCTGAATCACAAATGTGTGTAGATAGAAGTGTGGTTTGCCGTTCCTTTGTTCAACCTCTGGATCTTAATCTGCTCTTTAGTTGTTCTTTAAATTGAATGAACACACTGACTGTAGTTCTGATATTATGATTTTGATCAGAATGATTGTCCTTATAAGCCTTTATTAATCTCAGTATTAAATTTAAAAAGACAGACTTTTATTCTGGATTTGTAATTAACTATGCTCTGTTTTGAAGTATTATGGTATAGGTATCCCCACTGGTATTTTTTCTGAATGATAGAGTTAACACAGACTTTGGCATGGCAATTGAAGTAACCCACCTGCTATCCTGTTGTACAAGTGGTGTACAATTCCTACATTTATCTCAGACGTGTATTGTGAGGTGGAAAACCTAGATCAGGTCATTAAAATGCAGAACCAATAGACTGAGGAATAGCTTCTATCCATGGGCTGTCAGAACACTGAACTCAAAAAAATTATGTTATACTATCCAACCACATTTAGTCTAGTTTTTAAAGTCTTGTTTATTTTTATTGTTATATTTTATTTATTTTTTACTAAATGCACCTTTCAGTGGTAGCTGCTTTAATTTCGCCATTGCTTCATTGTGTTATGATGGCATTCTATTCTATTCTATTCTATAATAGGCCACAGAATCCTTACTAATTGCTCAATATTCAGCCCTTCATTCAGATATTCTCCTTTATGTCAGGCTCAAAGCTGCTGAGCTTTGGTGCCATCATGTTCTATACAAGCAGCACTGAGTACTGCAGTCCTACATATCCTCCTGTCAGTGGAAACTAGTTGAACTCTGAAATGTGGAGAACAAGACGAGCTGTTAAAAAGCAACTTTCACAGAGACATGATGGAAAA